CCCAGTTCTTAACTGTTAGTCATTTGTAAGTTGGATGTTTATAACTTGTGGGCTGCCTGCACTTGCAATGGGGAAAGGCTGCATTATCTTCCATTCACATTCTGTCATTCATCAGAGCCTCTTTACCAATGCAAAAAAAAAAAGAAAGGAAGAAAATAAACAGCACAAACACTTGGTGGGAGCAATGATTGGCACTGGCTTGTATAAATGGGGAACATTTCTAACTCTTTTTAATGGCAAGTAATCAAATGCACAGTAAGATCAGGCAAAACTGCTCCAAGAGACCAGCTTTCCCTTCTCACTTTGCTCTAACACAAAGAGCACAGTTTGGCTCCAGTATTAATAGCATGGCAGCCTTGTCACAGAAGAAGCCAGAGAAAAGTTAAGGCTACTTTTCTTTGATAACGCCCAGTAATTTGTACTGAAGAAGAAAAGGCTAAGTCCAATTTGCTAGGCCACTTCAATTTCACAGAAACAGCAAGATTTAAGGGTTCCTTTTTCAGTTTCCCAGAACATTTTCTGATTATAAATACTATGCTGGCTCAAAATCCAGCTCAGGGCTTTTTAAAATCATACAAAAGTTTAAAGAATAAAATAGCAGTTTGGATGAAATAATAATAAAGTAAGACAAAATAATAGATGTTAGACAAAAAGACAGTAGTCACCCTTCCTCGATATTTTGGTCTTCATCTGTATCCAAGGGAAAATATTTCAAAAAGCAAATGAAGAAAGCTTTGTAATAGCAATTGTGTCACCACCTGTTGTGAACTCAATATCTTTTACATTTGCCATCTTTTTTTAAAGCTATGTTTGCTTGGCATGCAACTTTACTTGTCGCGGTTTGATTGCGTCCTTTCTACCTTTTCAAATTTTCTGCCACCATCAAAACTTTGCAGACATAATTTCCCAGCCATCGCTTGTCACAAAATGCCTATTCTCCACAAAGTTAACTTGTGACTACACACCAGTTGATATCTGTAAAACAACTGAGTACCATATGAGCAATCCAGTATGTTTACTAAAATTAGCGATTATCCTTAGGGTTCTGACAACCACCATGGTCAGTGTTGCTTCTTATGTTTTTCCCCCAAATTAAAGCTGGATATATTATAGACTTTCTTTCAATACCACCACAATTACAGTATACTGAGGACATGAGACACAGAGCATTTTCAGTGGCTGTTCCCAACCTCTGGAATGTTCTTCTCCAGCTTTTGCCAATAGGCAAAGACATTCCTAGCTAGCTTTTGAACATCTGAGCAGACAATCTTTTAATAGAGGTAGCTTATTTAAAAACTTGTGTTTGTTTTTTTTAAAAAAAATGTTTTATAGTGTTTGTATGGTTTTAATTGTGTTTTACATTTTAATTGTGAATTTTTAATTAAAAGTGGTTTTCAAAGCCACCTTGGTTCCCACTCTGGGATAAAGGTGTCCTTCTAGTGCACTAAATAAATAAAATAACAAATAATTAAAATCTTATCCCACCTGCTAAAACTGTGCAAGAGGAAGGGCAACTTTACATGGGGAAGGAAGATAATTCCTCCAGGCCATGCCAGTGCTTTCCCATCTACCTGAAATTACACTTTGCACAGTGATTCTCAACCTGTGAGCCCCCAGATATTTTGGCCAACAACTCCCAGAAATCCCAGCCAGTTTACCAGCTGTTAGGATTTCTGTGAGTTGAAGGCCAGAACATCTGGGGACCCACAAGTTGAGAACCACCGATTTAACAATTCCACCACAACTCATCTACAGCCAAACCCCATCTTTTTCCATTGAGGAATGACCTGTTCAAGGCCTACACATAAAACAGCAATTGGCCACATCTCTGATACAGACAGTTTCAGGTAGATCTAGAATTGGGCTTTTTTTTTAAACTTGAAGGATTCAATAGCTTTGAGGAACTGTCAAGAAAAAGTAGGGCTCAAGAATTCCATGGGCCATTTACCCTACTCTGTGCTAAAATGATTCAATTGTACACACCACTGTGAGATTTAAATACTGAGTCAGAGCTGTGTGTATTTCGAGACAACTCTTGAGCTAGCAATTTTCCATTCCTAAGGAGATTACACATTTACCCTGCAGTTTCATTAGAGGCAGTCCACCTTTCAGGACTGAGTGTTTCAGTAGGCCACTTAAGTGTTCCAATGACATGCAAGCAGAGGGCAGAATTAACGGGGCATAATGACCTGCAGGAAACAAGGTTTTCAGTTTTATAAGGAAGTGCATTTCACTCAAATAACATTTACTGTTTAGGTATTCAGCTCTAGTGAGTTCCTCCAAAATCCAGAAACACAATTTCCATTGGATTGTTGTATAGTTTCTGGGCTATATGGAAGTTTTCTAGCAGCCTTGTCTCCTGATGCTTCACCTGTATCTGTGGCTGGCATCTTCAGAGGAATATTTATTTATTTATTTATTTAAAACGTTTATATCCCGATCTTCTCTACCTCCGTAGAGGGACTCAGACAGGCTCTCAGCAAGGATTCAATGCAATAATACAATCTAAAACATCATATAACAAAAAAATACAAATAGCATAAAATATATATAAGCCAAATTACCAAAATAAAATCATATCCAACTCAGTCTGCGTGTGGTCGATAACTTAGTCTGTAGCGAGTCTCAGCCATTATTCTGGAAATGCTTTGTTCCATAGCCAGGTTTTCACTAGCCTCCTGAAGTACAGGAGGGAAGGGGCAAATCTGCTCTCAATCGTGAGAGAGTTCCATAGTCGAGGGGCTACCACAGAAAAGGCCCTGTCTCTCGTTCCCACCAGACACGATTGCGAAAGTGGTGGGACTGAGAGCAGGGCCCCACCAGAAGATCTTAACAGCCTTGATGGTTCATAGGGGAGAATACGTTTGGACAGGTAAACCGGGCCGGAACCTTATAGGGTTTTATAGGTTAAAACCAGCACTTTGAATTGTGCTCGGAAGCTACTTGGCAGCCAGTGGAGCTGGCACAACAAGGGAGTTGTGCGCTCCCTGTACCCCGCTCCCGTTAGTAATCTGGCTGCCAAGCATTGCAGCTTCCGGACAATCTTCAGAGGCAACCCCACGTAGAGAGCATTGCAGTAGTCTATACAGGATGTAACCAGAGCGTGGACCACCATGGCCAAGTCAGACTTCCCAAAGTACAGGCACAGCTAGCGCACAAGCTTTAACTGTGCAAAAGTTCCTCTGGATTCTCTGAAGATGCCAGCCACAGATGCAGGCAAAACAACAAGAGAAAATGCTGCTAGAACACGGCCATACAGCTCAGAAACCACACAACACTTCAGTAATTCTGGCGGTGAAAGCCTAAAACAATACAATTTCCATTTTTTTGCCTTTACTAGGCAAATTCTGGTTTGAGTCATACAGTATTAGTATTACCTTGAACCACTGTCTGCACTTTCAGTTTTACATTATTGCTGGATAATTTAATGTTAGTGTTTTCCTAGCTTTTCCAGGGTAGCAAGTCCCTAACCACAGGAAGTCAAAAGTTTGGTTACGGATGTCAGTTAGAACAATGTTTATATATCTTTTTCAACACAGCTATCTCTCTTAAAAGTTCTTGCTACAAAACAGCTGGATATGTTTTGCGACCAACACACTGTGAAAATATAAGAGATGTGTCTACAATATATAGCCTTTAGTACTTTCCTTTGTAATCAACTATTGCTTTCTCTTGGAATTAACTACATTTGCTAACTATGAAACAAGACAAACTGAGTTATGCAGAAATATTTCAGAGAGGAAAATGTCCTCATATGTCTGGCTCCTAAAAAACTTTGCCTGGGCATCAGTGCCAAACTGAAATGAAAATGAAAAACAGGACTTCCTTGCAGATGGGACATATATTACTCATTCCCTTATTTTTGTTTGCTTTTGTTACAAGAAACAATTGCATTTTATTGCTATTCTTCAAAGCCTTTAGGGAAGTCGGCCTTAGTATTTTTTCAATTTTAGACTTATACATAGGATTTTAAATAATATTTATCACTAGCTGTTTTGTGATTTTTTTTCTTCTGGTAAGTGTTTAATATTTATTAGGCCTGTGTGATCAATGAAAAAATGTTTCAATACTCATTACTAAATTGCGGTGGAGAGGAGGTGAATCGTTTTGAAAGTGTTTCTAAAATAGCATTAGGGGTCTGTATCGTAACTATAACGATATAACAAAACTTTCATTACTTTTTCATTAAGTAATTGTGCAGGAGAGGGAGGTTTCCAGGGCTCATTTCTCCGCCTTTCCTGTTACAATGGGAGAACACATTTACCACTGCCCCCCCCCCTCCTCATTTCAGAATGTTTTAGTCATTCACTGATTTGGAGGAATTATTTAGTTTTTATGAACAACATTTTTTAAAAAACTATCTCCTTGATTTTCTATTTTCGTTCAAGACTCAATGTGAGTGTGTTCTCTACCTGTCTCTCTCTGGGCCAGCTATGTGCTGGAGGGGCTTCTTCTTTGCCCAGCCATCCTGCCAGGCATCACTCCATCCCTTGCTGCCCACTTTGGGGAAAGAGAAGGGCTCCTCCCTCCACTCCTGCCTCACCATCCTTCTAAGGACCCTTTGGGGGAACCAAACCCGGCTCTTTTGGGGAAGAAGTGGCTCCCGTGACAGACACCTGGAGCCACTTACTTGACTTACATAACTCGCAAGTCATCGGTCTGTGTTTTGAATCTTAAGTGTTTTGCATGGCCACCCCATGTGTTTCTAAATATCGCATTGTATGTACGGATCTTAAGAAATAGATCCAACAAACGATTTACAAACGAAGTTTTGCACAGCCCTAATATTTATACTTTTAATATAGCTGTTTTTTGGAGGAACTTCCAGACTGAAAAGCAGACTGTACAAAAGAAATAAACAAAGTAATGCCAATGTATAGTCCCAAATATATCTAATTGAAGACATGTCTACCATGTAAGTACCCATGGTCTTTTCAATGAATTGTAACATGGTTTCATAGCTGTTTTCAGGCATTATATCATCACATAAGACACCTCACCTCTCGCAGTTCCTGGGCCACAGAATTCAAGCGTTCATTTTCAGACTGTGTGTTGGCAAGGACATTCTTCATTTGCTTTAGTTCTGTCTGCAATTCCATGACTTTTTTCATGTAGTACTCTTCCTTTGTGGCAGACTCCTGAATCAAGGTCTCTTCCCTGCTCTCTCCATCTGCTGCGACTTTCTTGTGGTTGGTGTGAGCCTGGCCAAAAGCCTAGAAAAGAAGCCAAATTTTCTATTAAACATCTCCACTCAAAATCTGCTTAATAAAATGAACCAGTTAATCAAGAATATACTGGTTAACAGGCTGAGAAACTTAGCATTTCAGCCTCTGCATGTGGTGCTGTATTTTTCATTTTACTTATTATTGCAAGATATCAGACCTCACTGTGTACTAATATTATTTAAATCTCATATTTAGGAGGAAATAATTTAACAGAAGATTACAAATTAATAAAATTTCTAATATTTGCCTTGTAAACAGAAAATAATGGCACATTTTCACTAACTTCCTATCTCTCATTACAATTATCAGGAGGCCAACAAAGATAATGGAGGGCATTTTTAGAAGTTAAAATAGCATAGACAATAAAACTATTGCAATTTTTACAAGTTTGGACACTGGAACTTCTCTTATATTAATTTGATATTACTAATTTTTACAAAAAACCTTCCTTGGAATATACCCCCTTTTATTCCACAACAGTTTGTAAAATTATGTATAAGACAGTCAGATCAGCATTTAAGTTACCACTAAGTCATGGAAAACCACTGAGTGACCTCAGGTAAGTCACACAAATTCAGTCCCCCCGCCCATCCCCCCCCCCCCATGATAGATTTGCCTTAGGACTGCTGTAAATTGGAAATGACCTTAAGGTACCCAACAACAAAATTAAGGTGAAGAAGTTAGACAACAATCTAACCAGTCACACATCACTAACCAACATCACAATCACTCAAGGGAGGTCATACATAGACAAATACTCAAAACTGAGAGCACAGTGAATGTACATCTCACTAGGGGCAGTTCTACACAAGCACTAAATTCAAGTGAGGATATGGATTAGAAGGATCTGGTTCCACAGCAAAGTGCCTACACAATCGCCCCATGAACTGGTTTGATGCTGGGACGGTGGATACAGTATCCAATGACTGTGGAACCCAGGATTTTTTCCCCCCTTACCTAGTCCATTGAGCATATCCATGTCCATTCGAGATTAGTGCTGGAATGTGGTAGGGTACAGGAAAACAAAATAAGGAGTGTAAAGCTAGCATTCCCAAGGGAATGATGGGGTTTCCTGTGGGAGTGATTATTCACCTTCCAGTCAGTTGTGTTTTGGGTGATGGGGGATGAGGGGGCTAAACAGAATCAGCTGACTCCACATTTTTTCTGTCTCTGATTTGAGCCCTGCATGGGATACACTCTCATCAGCTGCAGCAGATTTATTTGATTTACTCTGGAGTTTCCGATGAATTCTTTTAATGCTCTGTCTCTAATTTAATGCATGCTACAATGTACATTGAGGTGTATGTTTGGTGAATACTCCACCCTCTAGCCAGATTCAAGCTGGATTATAGTGCCTGTGTAGAACTACCCTCAGAGAAATAAAGTGCAGAATGACAACATCAGCATTTGACCATAGATGGCCACCGCTATTGTATTACTTTTGACAGAATGTTCTGAGAGATTAGCAGTTTCATCCACAATCAACTCCAAGAGGCAAACCCTCCATTAAATATAGATGGGTCCTCCCTTCCAGTCGGTATGCAAAGTCCTGGGGCCAAAGCCAGGCAGACTGCTTCACAGCCAGGTGTCCTACTATTACTCCTTAATGAAGAGGAAAGCGCTTATGAGACACCAGAAGGGAAGTGACAGTACTGTAGTACAGTAGGGTTGTCAGCAAAATCAGCAGGACAGCAGAAAGACAAAGAATGACAGTCCTGTTCTCAGAGTAAAGGGAATATCTTCCTTCCCCCTGCGCCATCTAGGCTGAAAGAAATGCAAGGCTTCAAATGACATAATTCTCCAGACAAGTCTCATTGGGTTTGTTACGCAATGATTTCATCTCATTCACTAAAGTGACATGGATGCAATCACACAGTGAATAAGCCTTTGATATGTAACAATATCAGGAAACATCAGCAAGCTAGAAACAATGTTGTTGTTGTTTTATTTTATTTTAAGGCATAAAAACCATTTTGCAGGAGTTGGAAGAGAATTTTCCCTGTGAGTTTCCCCCCTCAAAAGCAGCATTTTTTGCAAATTCATCACTATTTCCTAAAGCAGCACCAAGAGTACATAAATCAATCTCAAGCAAAATATAGAGGCTCCTCTAATTTTTAGGAGACTGATTTAGGGATAATAAATACAGATGATGATGATGATTACTATAGACATTTGCAATGATCAGTATCAGCGCTGAGTCACTGCTGTTATTAAATTCTGTAAGTATTTATGAGATGTATTGCCTCCACCTGGTATGGAATTATAACTTTGAGGAATGCTGCTCTGCTTAAAGAGAGTTTAATTTGATCTGCACATATATGGCTTCTGGATATCTTTCTCAGCAACTTAAGAGGAAGAAAGGGAGGGAAAGTAATACTGTTCTGCTGATTGGAAACATATTCTTGAGTGTTCCTTTTCAAAAATGCTTCTTTGTCTCCATATCCTTTCCTTATATTTAGAGAAACTGCCACCTTGTAGTCTTGAGTGTTTCTTTTCAGAAAGGCTTCTTTGTCTACATATCCTTTCCTTATATTTAGAGAAACTGCCACCTTGTATTTATAGAGTTGTTCTGGAAGAAAGAATTGTATTTCCATTACGTATTACACCGATAGAGACTTTAGATGAGAAGTGACTGGAAGGAAATGTACTACCTAGTTACAAATACTAACAAGAGAAGAAGGAATATGGGGATTTCAGGGGATTGTGAGGAAAACTACGCCTGGATCTACTTGAGCAACTACTACTCATCAAATTCCTTACTAGAACTCAGAGAACTCCTGCCAGAATCACCACCCCCTCCCATTGATTTTACTTAAAAAAAAAATCAAAATCCCCCCTGCAAGCCACTTTTGCCCTATCTGTGTTGCTTTAAGCCCAGAAGGAGATCTCCCCCATGCCCACTAAAGGTACAGGTGGCCTCCATGTTCACAGGTTTAATTTCTACAGATCTAATTGTTTATAACTTTGTGCCAGTTGCTTAAATAACAACCATCGGAGCTAGAAAAATCCCACAGGGCTGCCCATTTCTCTTACTCTCCTCCTGTCTGTCTCCTTTCCCATCAACAGCCCCATGCCATGCCTCTCTTTCCTGCCTTGGCACCATGACTCCTCCACCTCGCTCCAAGGTTCCCTCTGCCAGACCTCTGTCACTTCTGCAGGTCTCCAAGCCCATCCACCTCATAGGACAGGAGGCAATATTTATAGAAACTTGTGGCATCTGACTCCCTGGTGACAGGGAGGAGGCAGGGAGGAAAGGTTAGAGGTCAACAATAACCTCTAACCTTTCCTAAGGACTGGAAAGAGAGCAAGAAGGCACAATGGTGCCAGGACTGGAAAGAGAGGCATAGGCTTGGGCTATTGATGAGACACCACCACTGCCAGCCTATTCTGATGCGGCTGCTGCAAAAATCACCTTCAGTCCTCAGAGACACACAGGCTTGGAGACAGGTAAAGGTGGCAGCAATCCAGTAGAATTGGCTTCAGAGTGAGGTGGAGGTATTATGGTACCAAGACAAGAAAGGGAATTGCATGCTGTGATTTTTGGAGGAAAAGGAGTCTGTAGCATGCATGTTGCCAGGGAACTAAAACATGCAGATATTTATAGTTTGTCCACTTTTGCAGGGATTCTGTATTCTTAATCTTTAGGAAAGTTGATGGCTTACTGCACTTGCATTCCGATGCCTTCTAAGGCAGAAATTGGGATTTTGAATTAATGGATTTGTTCAAGATGACAGTTTCACTAAATACACATTTTTACAGAACAAAAAAATGCTAACACAAATGCTGTGCTTTCTGTTAGGTCAAGAGCAAGTCAGCCTCATTTTCTTCTCCAAACAAACCTCCTTGTAAAATCATCTGTCATGTTTTCTATTTGGCATTCTATGTTGCCCTCCTTCAGCCCATATCTGTCATCACTGAAGGAAATTTACTTCCAAAATGCAAAAGTAGGCCTCAGTATTTCATTACTTTATGAGGTAGGAGACATCTACTGATACACTAATTATTGAATAAAGAAGGGCTGTAACATATGATTGTTTACTCCATCTTGTATTCAAGGCAGTAATTTATTGCTCTTATCAGATCAAATTCATTTTTAGATAAGCAAGTCAAAGAAACCACAGACAGATATCCATTGAGGAAATTCTGGACAGGTTCACAAAGCAGCCCCAAGGGAAATTAAAAAGCGTCACATTTCAGACAGAAAGTAAAACACCATCTGTGCAAGTTGCTGTCAAATGAGTTTCAGCTGTACAAAGCTGCTTATAAGCCTAATGCCCAAGACCTCTATAAATGTTAAAGGGGGGCAGGGGGAGGCAAGCTTCTCCTCAGCAGACCAGTTTTTCTTTTTCTCCCCAAAAGATCCATTGGTTTTTTTGTAATGAGGCCAACTATATATGTAAACTACAAAGTGGAAAACAAAGCTTCAATACCAACTTAAAATTAAATGACAAAGAGTAACTTATGATACATCATGTACACATCTACTGACAATGAAGCCCCACTAAATTCAACTGGGCTTATTCCAAGGTGATTGGACATGAGATTTCCACTTTTCTTGTTGCTTATTTCTTACATGTATCTGAAATGATAGGTCTGACCAGTATGCCTATGCTGTGACAGAGCAACATATATACACAAGCTACATATATAGGACAAGCTACTTTTGAATGCCTAGTTTGATTTCAAATGAATTTGCTCTTGCAAAAGCTGGAACCAGCCTATCTGAAGAATCGCTTCAAACCATTTCTCAATTTATGCTCTAATAACTTTAAACCCTTCTCATCAGCACTATAGTCATCAGGGACAAGGAGATGGGAGTTTTATATGTTGGTCTCCAAATCATGGAATAGCCTTCAAAGAAAGACTTTCAAAGATTCCCCTCAAATGTTGTTTACCCTTAAATCCATTCTATATGTATCATGTTTAAACAATGCTCCTTAATTTCCTGATCAGTTGATACTGTTGACATTTTGCTGTGATATTATTTC